AGTGGGTGTGGCTGTCTGCTTCTGTGCTTGGTGCCGGCGCTCTCCTGCTTCCCAGCTTAGATGTTCGCGCTGCTGCCAGAAGCAGCACAGATGGGAGGTGGTAACACCAGACAATGGCTCCCTTCCTTCTGTGCTGCTGCTGGCGCAGCGTGCCATCCAGGCTGGGCATCTGGGCAGCTGCCGCCACCCCTTAGTGCTGCCACCAGTTGTGCAGAAGAAAGGACAGCAGTGCCATGCCACGCCACCCTTCCTCCTGTGCTTTGGCTGGATGGCTCCCTTCCTTCTGTGCTGCTGCTGGCACAGCGTGCCATCCAGGCTGGGCATCTGGGCAGCTGCCGCCACCCCTTAGTGCTGCCACCAGTTGTGCAGAAGAAAGGACAGCAGTGCCATGCCACGCCACCCTTCCTCCTGTGCTTTGGCTGGTGCGGCCCACCCCCCGCTGCTCTGTGGCCACCCAGCTCAGAAGGCAGCTCCAGCAGCAGTGCAGAAGGAAGGGAGGCGAGACCATCCCAGGCCACCCTTCTGTGTTGCTGCTGCCATCTGAGCTGGGCACGTGACCAAGATGTTTGAGCAAAGGGGTCTGTCGTCTTAGGCTCAGGCTGGTCCTGCTCTCAGGCCTGGGGCAGCTGCTGGTGGCCGAATCTCTCCTGCAACCAGGACTCCTGCTGCATCTTCTTCAGCATCTCCCCAGGTCAGTCCCTCGCTCGCTGGGGACTCTCCCCGTTTGGAGCCGGCTGGCGCGGGAAGGTGGGTGCATCAAGGCAAAGGTGCACCCCCTGGACACTGGGCAGACGAGGCTCCAGTTTGCTTAGCTCAGCAGCTGTTGTCTGCTGCTGCCTCCCAGGGGCGAACATTTAAAATACAAGTCCAGAGCCATGATTCATAACTTTACATCCAAACCCCATACAGGCGTATACGTAGCATACACAGAGTCAGTTCGCAGGGTTCTCAAGAGCTCACCAGATGCCTTTTTCTTGCAGCCCTTGAAACATTTGGCTCTTTGCTGCCTCAGCTCAAGTTTTTCAACCGCTTTTTAACATGTGGCCCCTCGAACAGGCCGTGGTCTCCGATCCCTCCCTCCAATCTGCGCTGCGAGCGGCAGGACAAGGCAAAAGCAAGCAAATGCCCTTCTGTAAGGGGAGAGCTTTCCTCCCTCCGGCCTGGGGGGGTCTTTATGATAAAGGTGAAAAAGAAGAAAATGAACCCTGCGGAAGATGCTCACGGATTTCTTCACTTTCCCGAGCCCCAGAGAATGAAGGTTGGTTTCCATGTAACCTTTCCTAGTGAATTCTTTCCCACTGCTCTGAATTTCTTCTAGTAAACTCTGGTTTGGCCTCCAGAGCCTAAATAGGTTTCAGCTTTGAGGAGGAAGGGCCACTTCATTCCCCCTTCAACCTGACGCAGACGAGAAATCTCTCCTTTGCCACGTGCCCAGGCCGCCCGCCTGCGTCTGTGTCCGTTCATGCTCCAGCCCTGTTTCCAGGCTCCCTTCCTACAGGCGTCTGTGTCCGTTCATGCTCCAGCCCCCCTTCCTACAACTTCCCTTCAGGCATGGGGTACTGTGCAGCAATCACCTTTTCTCCCCCAGGGTCTCTTCCCCCACAACATGGCTCGCTCAGTCATTAGAGCATCAGACTTTGCATCTGAGGGCTCAGGGTTCAAGTCCTTGGTCAAAGTGAGTCTGTATGACTAGCCCCCCACCTCCCCCATGGGACATTATGCAAGACATTCCCTCCTTTTGTCACAGTTAATTTTCTGGAACCCCCCTTTGCCCTGAGTCCCTCATACACCCCAACCCCCTGCCATAAGATTGACAGAAGACAGCCTGAATGAAGCTGGATTTGACCAGTTATGTTAACTTGAAAGGAATATGCAAAAAGATGCAGCAGTCCCATTAAAGTCTGAGTACAAGTCTTATTGGTGCTAATATGTCAGTTGTATATTTTCAGTCCTGCAAGTGGGCATTCTCATACAGCTCTTCGCTGACCACTCGCTCTGACTTTGATGTAGTTTGATGCTCTGGTTTGAAAAGGTTGCCGACCCCTGCCTGAGGGAGAGAATTGCAGAAGGGGTGGTGCTGCAGAACACCAAATGTGAGAACTTTATGCTGTGCAGATCAGATTAGAGGGTCATTGTGGTCCACTCCGGCCTCAAACTCCCTGAAGAAGCCTGAGGGTTACTCGATGGAGCCGAGAGGAGGAGCCTTTGATCTGACTAGTTTGGATTTTCCATAAAGTTTGTTCCACCAACACTGTCCAACCCCTGCATGGAGCTGCTGCCACTTCTGCCGGTGCCAGGGACTAGCTGGCTCTCTGAGGGAAAGTCTGGCCTTGTGAAAGTTCACCCCCTTCTGTCACTGCATCTGCTGTGAGATTTCCCGTCTGTTTCGCCCCTGCTGCGAAACGAAGCTGCAGAACCACACACACGCCAGCTTTTTTCCAACTTTTATTTTAAAAGTCATAATTGAAGCTTAACAAAGTTGTAACCCATTATTATTGTGAGAGCTGTGACTCTGACATCCCGCGTAGCAGGAACCACCACCCACCCAGCGGCAGGTCACACACACAAGGATGCACCCAGAAGTGGGTAAGAGGTTTGGGGAGAGAGCTTAGTATGTTTAATTCATTAACCCCTCGTGTGCTTCCCACACTGGGTGCAGCAATGACATCCACCACAAGCAACCTTAAAAGAAGTTTGTTTTATTGGGAATTGGGAGGGTGGGTTTCCCGTAATATACTTATCTCCTGGGTGATGGTTCTAGGGGAGCGGTTCCTTCTGCAAGAAGCAGAAGGCGCTACAGAACCTGGGTGTGTCTCCCCTCTTCCCCTCCCCCCAATACGTACATGCAGATAGTTTATAAAAGAAAGGCAGATTCTGGATTGTGGCCACCCAGAGGATGGCTTCTATCAGACAGGATATTCCCTGTGGGGAAATAAAAATAGACTGCAGTCCCCAGAGGATCATGGGAAACCGTCATCATCATCTTCTGCCATTTCCTTCGCAAACTCAAGGTCCTGCTGCTCACGCTCCCGTCGCTCCTGGAAGACAAAGGTGGGGAAGGTTCCTAACAGGTAGACTCTAGCAGCGGGACTGGGATGGCTCAGATTGATGGGAGCTGAGCTGCTCAGAGACCCCCCCCAGGTCAGCGCTGACCATAAGAGCATGGGAGGCAATGGCCATTCAGGGGTCTGTGTGAAATGAGCGAAGGGAAGGCCCTGTCCAAACCAAAGACTGACTGGGCCCTCGGCCGAACTCCCAGCTCGCCACAGAAAAGGTCCCACCAGGGCAGGGGTGGGGCGCTTTGCACAGACTAGACAGGGGTCCATAGCACTGGTTGGGAAGCAAGCGTTGCTCCCAGGGTGGGTTGCTAATGGGACCCTCAACCCCCCCCCCCCTTCCCCAGCAGGAAGCCCAGAACTCAAGCAGGACCTCACCTCTGCAGACTCCAAGTCCTTGTTGTAAGACTTAGGTGGGAACCTCATGGCCTGGAAAAAAAAACCCACACCAGAGGGGATCATAAGGAGCTATGGAACCACAGCCATGTTCCATCTGGGCCATGACCACAGGACAGAGACAAGCAACCCACAGCGACCTCTCAGGCCGTAGCAGCCATTTCCACGCACACACTGCAGCCCGGGCTCACGCTCCTTGCTTCAGCAGCTGCAGGGCGATGGGCAAGTTCCAAACAGCCAGGTAGGTGGCTGCTGGGTCACAACATGTAGGCAGGAGAGCAACCTTCACGCACACCTCCCAGCGCAGTGGAGCTCAGGGTGTGCTCGCAAGGGCCATGCATGCTAAGGCTGCGTGAGCCTACCCGGCGAATCCGCTCTCGCTCCCAGCAGCTGCAGCTAGTGCCGAGAGACTGGCCAGCAGAGGCTTTCACAGCACTCTGGCATGAACGAGCTCGCCCAGCGGTCACGGGGAGTAGCCTGCTATTATCCATTTTACAGAGGCAATTCACAGAATGGAAGAGAACCCAGGAGTCATCTCTCAACCCCGACTGCAGCGCGCTGCATTAGCAGGCAGAGTACAGAATGGGGCGTGCTTAGATTACAGGGGAACGTGGTGAGCTCAAGGAGGGCAGAAGGACCATACTTTGGACTGGGGAGCTGAGGGTGCGAGGGAGAGGAAGGAGAAGAGCCAACCCATCACCCTAGAGGGGCCTGGTACCAGCAGTGGGAGCTTTGGGCCTTCTAAGTCACTCTGCTTCACTCCCACAACTCAGGACACCTGACCCAGAACCCAGACAACGGGCGGAGCATAGCTACCTTGACAGACATGTTGTGGATGTCGAGGCAGAAGGAGATCCTCTGATGGAAGGCCAGCTGGGGCTCCCGCGTGGAGTAGATGTCAATCATCTCTTTGGACTGGACGTAGCCCTTCTCGTGGTTAATGCTGGCTTCAATCACCCCATCCCGGATGGCCTGCAGCCCAACGGCAACAGTCACGGCAGGGGCCAGCCACTTGGTTCGCGTGTGCCAAGTGCCTGCGTTCCCGAAGCTACGGTGAGCTCCCACAGGACAGCCCAATTGCTTGGTTCCCTCGAGCTCTGAGCTCCACATGCCTCTTCCACTCAGTGGAAGCGGCTCCGTTTTTTCTTGGTGGAACAAGCCTTGCTAAAGATTGCTCAAGGGAGTGACAGATGTAGCGCGATAAGGCCAGTTGGGTCATGGGCATGAAGGAACTCAGAGCTGCTGACGGCCCGGACCCCAATCAAAAGAGGCTGGTGATAAACCAGCCCTCTGCTCCTTCAAAAGGGTGTAACAGTGACGAACGATACAGGATCAACCCATCAGGAATCAGACAGTCCCTAAGCACTGCATGGAGAAGGGGTCAAGAGCTAGATTTCCTACACTGATCCGTGAACCTGTGCTTCGTCCCAATGACCCACCTTGGCAACAATGAACTCAGCATCCTCCGGGCTGTCCAGCTGCAGTTTCTGAGCAATGTCAGCCAGAGCTATGCGAGAATAGGACAAGCTGATCATGCGCACACCTGGAGGAGAGAGAGAACAGGAGCTGCAGAGTGTGTCTTGGGGCCAGAGTGAGGTGGGAAGTGGGCGTGAGGGCAAGAGGCCTTTAAACCAAGTACAAGGACACTCAAATGTGTGTTGCTCTTCTTTTCTGCACTAGATGTTAGGAGCAAGCCACAGGGGCTAGCTAGGCTAAGACTAGGACTGCCTGAGGGACACCGTAACAGGCCCAGGCCTCAATAGCATGGCCATTAGCAGCTTTTTACCTGTCTTAATCACATTGTGTCTCAGCCTGATGATGAGGGTATAGGTCCCGTCGGCCTGAAATTTGTCCGCAAACTGATCCAGAACCTGGTTGAACTTGGCTAAATTACCCGTCCGAACAGCTGTGAAAACACATAGGAAACCATTGAGAAAAAACAAAGGGGGAAAGATCAGCTGAGGTCCCAAAGTAAGAACACAAGACAGAAGTGCTGATCAATGTTCCCTGTAAGCGGAGTGCTTGGGCGGGCAGCCACCCAGGAGAGATCCAATGCTGTCCAGCTGATTAGCAAGTGTGTCCACTGATGGTGCACATCTACGTATTCTTTGGTGCACATAACAAAAATTATTCTACACATGGATGGAAAAATTAGAGGGAACACTGGTGCTGACACCCAATTCTGGACTTTAGTCATTGCCAGGAGTGGAGAACAGAACCCAGGAGTCCTGTGCGCCAACCACTCAAGCTGCTGCCTGACATGTAAAGTAACTGGAATTTTGAGGTTTGATCCATACATGCCAGAAATAAAACAGGAGACAGAGCCCTTTACTGATGAAATGTTAAAAACACTTGGCTCCTTCAAAGAGCAGAATATTATGCCCATTTACAGTGATGTGTTGGCTTCAGAAGACCAACAATTTCATAGATCAGTCTGACCCCCTGTTTAACTGAGCCCAGAGTTACCTCAAATAATTTTTTAAATTTGAGCACATCTTTAAAAAAAAATCCAGTCTTGATTTAAAAGTTGCAGGTGATAGAGAAGATGCCATAACTCTTGGTAATTTGTTCCAATGGTTAATGTCACTGTAAAAAGTAAAATTTACTTCCCTGGCTCCTGTGACATTAGAAGCCAGGACCACCCTGGGTCAGACCAGTTAACAGGTCATAAAGTTACTGACCATTACCTTCCATTCTGAAAAAGTTGCATGTATGGCTTTGGAATAGAAGTTGGCATAGCAACACTCGCATACTAAGTGCACTTTTATCTTTTTTTGCAACTATTTTGTTAGCCTAAATAATAAAACCTACCCAAGAAAATGATTCGTTAGTGAAAATATGGTTACATAAAGGTTTTGTCTTATGTAATGAAACTGACTGTTCTCATTGTTCACAGAACTGACCAATCTTTCTTTAAAATCAACCGTATGCTTTTGGCCTCAATGGTATCTTGTGACCACGAGTTCCACAGGTAACGGTCAGCATTTCCTTATAACTACATCTTTCAGTTTCATATAATAGCTCTTTATTCTTGCAGTATGAGACAGCATAAATAAGGTGCACAATTTACCTGTTGTCAGTAACTTCATTTCTCATGAAAGAATTAAGACACTGTAGCTAGACCAAACGGTAGGGCTCAGAACAGAAAGTCAGGGGGTTCCTAAGTCATCCGACAACAGATCACAAACCTCTGGGGAGCACCGACAGCGCATCCTTACCCTGCGTCAGGAGGAAGTAGGGCATGAGCGACCTCTTGAGGGAAGGCTGTCTGAACTGGAGCCTGTCTGGGATCTCGCCCAGCAGTAACTCCACCACGATGAGCAGCTTGTGCACCTTAGGAAGACAGACAGACGCAAGAGACTGAATCTGCTAGAACTAGGGATGTAAAATATTTAATTGGATAAGCAGTTAAACGAGATGTTGAACTGGTTAACCGACTAAAGGGGGCAAAGGCGGCAGCAAGGGGGTGGGGGTTCCAGCCCCACTGGGCTGACCCCCCCCCCCCCCCCCCCCAGCCAAGGCCAGGCTGGAGCAGCCCCTTTGCGGCAGGCACGGGCAAATTGCAAACAGGGGTTGCTCCGGAGCAGCTCTTGCACCGCCATGGACACGGCCTACTCCGAGAGCAGCCTCTGACTGCGGCAGGTGGGAAGCTGCTCCGAGCCCTCACCAGTTAATGCTTAACAGGAACCAGTAAGCATCACCCATTAAGGTTGATCTTTCACATCCCTAATTAGAACTGCCTTCGACACTCTCAGGAAGCTAATTCGTCTTTAGAATAGACTGGCCAAGAAGCTGGTGAGAGATCACAGAACCTGCCTTGCCTCTCTCTGCTCCTCTTCCTGGACCCGATTATGCATGGTGCCTGCACAAAATGCCTGCCACATGTCCACCCAGAGGATTAAGCCTGCACTCACTGTCTGTTTGAAGCCGACAGCAGTGTGTTGTGGTGCCTTCCTCAGGGCATTCGTCATGGTCCTGCGTGCTTCAGAGTATTCCAGCTGAATGGCTTTGATGCGACCTGGAAGGGAAGGGAGAGGGAGATTTACAGGGGGACAAACTATTACAGAGTCGCATTGGTTTAACTGACAAGAGCCCACCCAGGCACTGGGACCTTCACCCTACCTGGCACAAACCGCTACTCAAAACAGCTGCTCCATGCCAGGGCATTTGGCTGCTATAGTTTGGTGCACCTTGAGTGACTGACAGCACTTGGGGGCATATCAGCAACAAGCCAATCTAGGTTCAGTTGCCTCACATTCAGATGACTAGAGGAGCTGCTGAGGTTTGGAGATCGCATGCTTATGTACTCTGTGGTGGTGGCGTCCTCAGCAAGGACAGCAGGGTGTGAGCAGTCTTCACCTCACCCCTTTCCTTGCCCAGGGCAGCAAAGTTAATACCTCTTTGCCCACCCATCAGACCTCAAAGCCCCGCACCCACCTGTGCTTGTTAGTGCACCAATCATCATGAAGGCCCAGCACACTCCCTGGCAAGAGGGACGTGGTCTGTGGCACAGTCCCTGGTCTGGAAACTGGGGCAGCTCCATGTCAATTTTAGAACAGCAATTTCAATGTGAATTACATGTGGATATTAACAAGCTCAGTACAGTGGCCCCTGTTCTCCACTTTCACTTTCAGATTTGTACACTGGTGACGCTGAGCGGCATCGCAACAGTCCAGGGCAAAGCTGGAGATTCTGGCAACTGCAAAGGGGGTTTGTGGGGGACTGTGGAATGCAGGTAAGTACCTGTTAGCAATGAACAGTGTTGGCATTTCCACCATTCAGCTTTCTGTAGTTACCTCTCCCCCCGAGAGAAATTTGGTAGCTCTGAGTGGGGTGAATTGCCGCTTCAGACTGCCTGCAGACTAGACTATAATATGCTATGCTTGGTGCATGTTGTCCAGTTTTCTTCCCATTTATTAGGCAGGATGTGCAGATTCACAGAATCCGAGGGCTGGAAGAGACCTTAGTAGTCATCGAGTCCAGCCCCCTGCCCAAAACAGGACCAACCCCAACTCAGGAATAAATTCTGTGGCAAGGAGTGAATTCTTTGGCAGTGGAATGTGCCAGAGGATCGTGATATTTTACAGGTGACAAAATGGAGGTGGAGATTATGAGATTTGCCTGAGGTCACAAGGTCAGTGACAGAATCAGGAGAAAACCCTCAGAAACCTGAGCCTGGCTTTAATCACTTGAGCACACTGCTTCCCTGGCTCCAGGAACAGAGCCCAGGAGTCCTAATTCCAGTCTCCGGTTCTCGCCGCTAGACAGCGCGACTCTAAAGCGGCTTGTGATGGCACTGCTGCCTCTCACCTGTGTAATAGAGGTACCTGGCCCACTCGTTGTTATTGGCCTGCTCGGGGAAAACTGATTTGGAGACAAGCTTTTCTGCCTGGTCGTAGAGATTATAGTGAAGATAGTTCCTCAGCAGCAAGTTCAGGAGAGTGGCCTGGCCATCGGCATCATGGCGGAGGGTTGCTGTCCTCAGGCGGGCATGCAGGAAACTTCAATAAGGGTGGAAAGGAAAGTGTGTCAGGAGGAGAGGGAGAAAGCTGCAAAATGGGACAGGACAAATGTCCTCAGCACGGTTCCGATCCTAGCCAAGGACTGCAGTGCCCTCAGGCACCAAAGGGCCCTTTCCTTTCTGCATAGGTGGGCTCCAGGAGAATGCAGCACACAGGACCGCAACTGACCTATCGGACACAGCAGCAGTCAGTCATACCTCCTGACCACGTCAAGTTTATTCAGGAACTCGTAAATACGGGAGTGGTAGTAATAACACTTGGCCACCACCAGATCCAGGGCTCGGCGATTCTGAGGACTGATCTTCTGCATAAGGTCGTCGGATACTTTCTGGGCCTGGAGAAGGAGAAAGATCAAAACAACCAAGCTGAGAGCGTGAGAGAGCAAACTTATGCTTGCTCTCTCGTGAGGAAAGGCAGGAGGGGAGGAAATTAGAAGCAGTCTGGCTGTGGAAACTCCTATTACTCTAAATCCCCTGCCTCTAAAGCAGTAGTAGCTTCCAAGGGCTGCATCTCAGCCAATCCCTTTGGAATGCAGTTAAAAAAAATCCAGGGACACTCTCCTAGAAGAGCAGTAAAATGTGAGGTGACTAAGTGGAGGCAGTGGTAATTTTTTGCTGGCTAGTTACTAAAGCCGCCTCCTGTAGCCTAGGCTGGGACATGAAGTGTCTCTCTTCTGAAGCTCTCTCACACTATCTGCACTCTATATGTACTTTTCAAGATGCTTTAGCTTCTGTAGCTTAGGTCATGGGAACATGGAGGCAAGGGGGAGAGCACCCAGATTTGACAGTTTAAACTACAGTTTTGTGGGCTGTGCATGCCCAATACATGGGGTTCAGTAGGGAGATGGATCTCCCCAATGCAGCAAGCAGTACAGCCCTGGGGTTTTACCTCTGGATATCGTTTACTGTTCATCAGGTAGATGACCAGGAGCAGCTGGAGATAGGTTTCCACCTCTGGCAGGAGGGGGGCTGAGGCTGCCTTTCCTGTCCGGGGGCGGAACTGCAGCTCTGCTTCTGTGTCCATAGGCTGTAGAGAGAAACCAAGATGTGCTGGAGCCACAGCTCTCAAGTCCTCTAGTAATTCACAGAAGAAACTCAACATGGATGTACCAGGCCTGTCATCAACGCCCTTAGCAGTTCCCTGCCTGCCCCCCAGATGTACCTCATCTTGACCTGGAGGGATTACTGCTAGGGAAAAAGGAGAGTTCAGTCTCCAAGGCTCACTCAGTCTTTGGTCTCTCTGCTGAGGATGCCAACATGGGCCAGCAAATGCTCGTTGCGATTTACAAGCCAGCTGGTACTGAACCTAGTCACCATCCCCAAATCACTTCCCAGGCACTTCTGAATGGTCAAGTTGTAATGTCTGAACACTACCTGTGGTGTCTCTGCTTCCCCCCACTTACAACAGCAGGTTCTGCTACTAAAACACCAGGCATCTGCCAGAGCAATTACTGCCCCTACTTCAGCCACCACCTCTGCACCTGGGACAGACTCACCTCCTCCAGAAAGCTCAGTAGGAAGTCTCGCATGGTGCTGTTGGAAGTGAAGAAGCCATTGATGGCTTTATGGAGCACATTGGGGTTGAGTCGGCGGGACGTGGAAGGCAGAGCTCTTAGGGCACGCAGGACATAGCGAGGCTCCTTTCCAGACACGGCCTTCTCAAGCTGCTTCACGTGCTCTTTGATGTCTACATGAGCATAGGAAAATTTGCTGGCACTCTGCTTCTGGCAAGTGCCCGCACAAAGGAGGTGCTCAGAGGGAAAATCCTAATACTTGATAATTCTACTGGCATACCCCCCCTATTTCCTGTCTGTAGACGATACCTGTTCCTATCGGACTATTTTAAGGCAGGGGTAGAGAATCTAAGGCTTAGGGGCCAGATACCCTAAGGTTCTCCCCCAGTATTTGGGAGCCAGACCTGGCGTTCCAGCCACCCCCATTGTGCCCCACGAAGCTGGAGCACACAAAATCTACTAGTCTAGGCTCTGGTGTGCAAGGGGAATGTGGGGAGTGTCTTTCTCCTTCTCGGACAGGGCCCGGGTTTGGTTTTTTTTTTTTGCTTTTAACTTGTGTGACCCTCAACTAATTTTTAAGTGGGTCAGTGGCCCCCGACCCTAAAAAGGTTTCCCACCCCGGATTTAAGGAGGTAACTTCAATCCCTCAGGACAGAAACCACCCTCTGAATGATGGGGGTTATGAAGAAGGGCAAGTGATCCAATATCTGTCTACCACAGGTTTCTTGCATCTTCCTCTGCAGTCCTTGGTGCCAGCTGCACTACTATTTATATTACAGTAGCACATAGAAGCCCCCATAATGGACAAGGACCCCAATGAACTAGGTACCATGCGAACACAAACCAAACATACAGTATATAGATGTTGGGCTCATCCAGTTGGATACTGCTTTCATCCTCATTACAGAGCAATTCTTATAACAATCGCATGCTTATGTAGGCACTTTCACAATGAAGTGTCCCACTACATTATACAAGCAACCTGAGAGAGAAGCTAAATACTGCCATCACTTTATGTGCAACTTGGGGTGGAGGGGACCCGAACAGTGCTGGGTGCAGCTGACAGATCTGCCACTGGCTCTGTCAATTTAAGTGAGTCACTTGGGGTCTGATTTTCAGGTGCGCTGAACACCCAAACCTCCGGTAGAAGTCAATGGGCGAGGATGCTGCTTAGTACCAATGAAGAACACGTGCCTCTGTGAAATAGTGGAAATGACGCCTCCTGGCCTGGCAGTGGGGTCCAGGCGTGAGGGGTGCGACAGCGGGGACCTTGGCCATACCCATGCTGTTTGCTCACCAAACCATCACCCCATAGGCCGAGCACCACCCCGAATACCCCTCCCCCTGCAAAAGCTGGGACTTGGGAGAGAAACGGGGCCAGTCACAGGAGGGTGGGGAGGGGCACCTAGGACACAGAGGGGAGCTGGCTTTGGCCTCCAGAGAGAAGCAGCC